CTAAAAGTTTTATTTAAAATGAGAGTTTGCTTAACCTTCAATCTTCTCCCCATCACTTTACAGCCATAATAATAACTCGTTTATAGTGTTGACTTTCTTTTTAACCTATATCTCCTATAATTTGCTGTATAGTTATGGGACTGAGAATTATCCCACAGTAATTTCTTATTCAAAATACCTACAGCTAAACTAGTGAAACGCCAGCCACAACAGTAGAAGCAACATCCGTAACTAGAGAAGCATACCCAAGTCAAAAGTTTTCTTAAACACATTCTTAAGCATCCAAAATGCTCAAGGGCAACACAAGAAGTTCTGGAATTTTACTAACAGTACATGTAGCTCAACAATTTACAAACACAAAATCAGGATAAATTTGTTGCTCCAGAACTTGAGTTGCTTCAGATGGAACAAATAAAAAATAAGTAAAAAAATAAAGGTAAGGGAAGAAATACAAAACCAGAAAACCCCACGCCAACTTACCGATCAATAGTTTGGAGGACCACAGCACCTTGTGGATTCCAATTCCCCAAAGCACTGCAGCTCCCGCATATTGCAAAAACCTCTCCTACAGAAAAAAACAACAGAAAACAACTCACAGTTATCATTACTCCAGTATATATGGCATTAATAAGTACAGCTTACACAGTCAAACCTTCAGATATTTTAAACATACACACCAGAATCACCCACCTAAAATCCCTTTTTTCATTTCAGAAAGGAATTTTCCCCTATCCAAAACTACAATAGCTTTTTCTTCACCATCATAAGGACCTCACTGAGAGAGAGACTACTGACAACCCCAGCCCTTAAAAGGGTTAGCTTCCAAATTGTTGTGAACTAATACTGTTCAAAATTCTCTGGAAATGCAGCAGGCAGATTTTCACTGTGAACTGTTTAATGTCAAGATAATGCAGTTTTTTCCCAGATATTCTGTATTTTTTAACCCATATACAGATACACACACAGTACTAAGTAACCTACATTTCCAAAAACGCAATTCTCTCAAATTCACACCAACAATTTAGAAAGCACAAACAGGAGGTTGCTAGCATTATTCCCAAGGCAACACATCCAATTAATTTGATTCCCAAGAGAAATAAAGTTAATTTTACTGCTATGCTTTCAGCTTTCATTGGATATAAAAATGTAACACTGCTACACAAAAAAAACACACATGAAATTGTCACACTGTGTGCCTCTTAGTGCATGCATACATATATACATAGAGAATCCAAAAGATTGTAATAGTATATTTCATTCTGGCATATCCCAGAATTAAAGTTAACACTGCAACTTACCCTTGTTTTTAACATAAAACCTGTATGTATCAGACTGTAAGAATGACAACAATGACACATACTAATGGAAAGGACAGATTTGTATTTTGCTCTTACAGAGTTTCAACAAGATTTTTAGACACAAGAAAAAAAAATCAGTTGCAGAATGAGCAAACGTTAAGTTTTAAAGCATATTTAGGCACCACAAAAGAATGATACAAGTATCTATGATGGTTATTTCCTGTACTTAAAGAGGAGAAAGCAGTAGCAATAGTGTTGGAGCTACAATAATCCATACATACAAAGTAGATAAACTATATGCAACAAATGTACACTAGCTTTTACTAAGCCACGTATCATAGCTGGAACTTCAAAGTCCAAAATAAGTCTGGAGGAAGTCCTTATGCCCCTAAAATTGTGTCTATTCTTTCTAATTAAACTACTAAGAGATACCACCAGGACTGTTTATGAAAGAAACCTCTGCAGGTCCAGGGGTTGGAAAAAAACAAATCTACAAAAGTCAAAAATTGAGTAAGGTAATTTGTTCCTAAAAGCAGCTTACTAAAGTAATTTTGGATAACATCTTGAATTCCAATCCTTTAAAAAAAAAATTCCATTGCAATTCATTAGAAAAGAAAGCCCAAGCTTTCTGGATGTTCACTGTAGGCATACAAATGCAGACAAAAATCTGCATTATGAGTATACTTACTATGCAATTCACTGCACACAATTGCCTGTGTCAGGTGCTTTCCCTTTTTCACTCTGTACTGAGGCACATGATGGTTTGCTTTTGCAGGGAGGAGATAAAGGGGGGGAAGGAAGACCACCTGAACACCACACAGGTAGAATTTCTGACTGCAGATATTGAAACTAAGCAAAAATTCTTTTAATATCCCTTTAAAATAGCTGTACTTAATCCATCTTAGTGTAAACACCAGCCAACCTTTGAAGTGTCATCTAAATTATATTCCTCTTAACAGGAGCCAGCTAGAATAGTTTTCCAGCCTTCTACTTTAAACAAACATTCAGTAACTACCTCTCACTCAGTAAGGTACAACACACAAAGGCAACATTTGAGTATGATGCAGAGTCACTCCCTTCAACAATTACACTGAGGCTGAATCAGGATTTATAAAACACTGCTTAAATTATCTCAGTAAAGGCACAAGTGAAATGCATGATGAACTGCCTTTTCATAGGCAATTCTAAACACGGTGCAGTTTGCTCTGGTTTTTGTGTTTTAAGCTCAGGGGTTCTAAACTTCTCCCCTCCCCTTGTCAGGGAATCCAAGGCTGCTACTGGCAGAGCTCCTTCAGCCGCAGCAAGGGAAGCTTCCCTAAGCCTTCTGCCCAGTCCCAAAGCTTGCGACAGCTTTGGGATGTTGCAATCTGCCTGTTTGGGCCAGATGTGTGGGGGCACAACTTCTGTGTGGAGTTGGGAGCTAGAAGCTCCCTTATTTATTTCATAACAGCTCATCTGCCACCAAGCAGTCTCTTGATATGGGACTGTGTCCTGATGAAGAGCTAAAGGAGTCACAAGCCAGTAACCAGTGACCCCCTTCCTTCTGCTAAAATGAGGCAAAAAGAAGCACTCAATGACACAAATATGCAAAAGCCTGCACACCAATGTGTTGGGTTTCATCACCAATATTGACTCCAGAGGTGGTTTGGCTGAAGGGAGCAGCAGTCAGAGCATCATTCCTGCGCTGGTGATGCCTTTTTATCCTGTTAGCCCTGGAATCACAGGCTTTGACATCAACGGTAAGAGACAGTGATCAGGACACAGGGAGCATGTTAGTACTCAAAGTGAGGCTTTTTATCTCACCAACTAACTACTCACCATAGTGATCTGACAAAATCACCATCTGACATTTCTAAATAAACTGGAAATTTTGCTGCTTGTAGAACTGCTGATAGCTCTGAAACTTACCTCTCTTCTTTCACAAGACTGCATCTTGCCACTGCTGCATCTCAAAGCTCTTCTCCCAGGTCAAAACCAACAATATCAATACTGTCATAAGGAGAAGCAACCTTCTGTGTCACTTCTTTACGCTACACATGTGATAAGTATTTCCAGATAATTCTTCGTAAACAGCTGCTGAGATGGGATCTAGCTCTCACTATCCCTACCTTTTCTTGCAGATATTGTAAATACAAGAAAAAGTTACCTATTTAAAGTCAACTTTGTTAGTGACAGTGCCATCACAACTGTGGAAGCAACAGTGTGAACAGGATGAATAGAGCATAGCTTGCAATACTCCATGGTACAGCCACACCAGTGCTTTATAGTCGCATTTGATCTAAGGTCAATATACTCTTTAATTTTAAAGTTTTCTTCAGAATGCTATAAAACCACTACTTATTACTAAAGGCTTTATGTCCACATTGTGTGTCAGTTTTCTGCTCCCAAATGCCAAATCACAAGGGAGGAACACAGGGCAGATGTCAAAACTTCTAAAATGTTTTTATCATTTTCTTCCCCACCAACTACAGTAGACACTTATGCCATCTGGTATTTAGCTGTCACAGGAATTTTGCCAATCTGTACATGCTCCCACATTCATCTGCTTCTGTGAGGCAATCATAAATTACTTTTTGGTGAACTTCTGTGCTGGATTTGGCTGGGGTAAAGTTAATTTTCTTCATAGTAGCTAGTACAGGCTATGTTTTGAATTTGTCCTGGAAACAGTGTTGACAACAGAGGGATATTTTGGTTAGTGCTGAGCAGTGCTCACAGCACCAAGGCCTTTTCTGTTTCTCGCTCCACCCCACCAGAGAGGAAGCTGGTGGTACACAAGAAGCTGGGAAGGAACACAGCTGGGACAGCTGACCCCAGCTGACCAAAGGGATATTCCAGACCATACATCACCATGCTCAGCAATAAAAGATGGGGGGAAAAGGAGGAAAGGGGGGGACATTTGCAGTTACAGCATTTGTCTTCCCAAGTAACTTTACATGTGATGGAGCCTTACTTCCTCGGGGATGGCTGAACACCTGCCTGCCCAGGGGAAGCAGCAAGTGCATTCCTTGTTTTGTGTTGCTCGCATGCACAGCTTTTGCTTTCCTTATTAAACTGCCTTTATCTCAACCCATGAGTTTTCACTTTTCCGATTCTCTCCCCCATCCCACTGGGGGGAAGTGAGCAAGCAGCTGTGTGGAGCTTAGTTACCAGCTGTGGTTAAACCACAACACCTTTCTTCAAAGTTCCTAAGATGAAGCTCGACGTAAATAAGCACAGTCTATAAAACCTAAATCTCTTGATCTGATACCTTGTGTTCCTCATTTCAGTTACAGAAGTTATTTTACACATTTTTGCATATATAGAATACTGAATTAAGCTGCATATTCTTTCTGTCCTTAACTCCTAGCAGAGTTCATATCTTGTGAGAACTTTCTACAAAGATGCAGAAAGAATAAAAACCAGAATACACACATCAATGTATGCCTAACTGTCATGGTTCAGAACACAAACATTCATTTCCATGGAACAAAAAGGTACTAGAGACAGAAGATTTTAAACCAATCATAACTATTTCGGTTAGCATCAAAATCTCTAGCACAGTATGAAATTGTTGGGAGAAGGAGGTAAAAATTATTTCCCAGCTCTCACTTTCAAATTCCTATGTGAAATTCCTTAATTACTTTATTTTACAATGACTTATCATTTTGATATTTGAACTGACATGTTCTTTTACCTCTGAGGAAAACAGACAAGACAGCCTTTGAACCCTCTACTATTAAGTTTTCTTCTAGGTAAACCATACATAAAAGAAAGCATGATTTGGGTACCTGGTTCTGCTGTTCCTTTTACTTCAAAAGTCACTTGAGAAGAGGTCATATCTGCAGAACTTTTGTCTTAGGATAGCTGAAATCTCCTATAGTGGGAGGAAAAAGACACTACATTTCAGGAACAATCACTACATCTATTACTGTCCTAAGTAAGAGGAAACATTAATCCCACCACTTACAGGGAAGAAAGCCACCAGTGATATTATTGTTTGAATGAGCAGTCAAAATACAAAGCTCTTTAAAACCAGCAGCAGACCCAGAAAACAGTAGCCAGCTGCAGTTGACACTGTTGCAACACTGGCACACACACACACACAAAAAAAGACTACGAAATCAAATACCACATGCAGGTATCAGTATCTTGCAGCATTCATCAGTATTCAGCTGAGATTTTTCAAAACTCTTTTTGACTAATTTTGCTCCCAAAGAGGCCACTGGAAGTTATAAGACATTTTAATATTATGATCTTTGGCAAACAGTTACTTCTGTCTCATCTATGCTATTCTTCAGCATCCCCTCCAAGTTTTCCCAGAGAAGCACTACAGTTACTTGTTCATCACCATGGACTCTGCTCCCCTACTTCCAGCCTTTCACATGAATCACCAGCAACTACACACACCAAACAGTCTTCAAAACAGCACCCTAGGCCTACAGCCTCTGTAGCCAGGGCAGTAGCTGGAGGATTGACCCTGCTTCAGTTTTCTTCTCCAATACACAACAACTCAATGGAAAAACCCCTGGCAGAATCCCCCTCTCACCATTACAGCAGAAACACAATTGATGTAACATATCCTTTTATATTATTTACAGTAGTAGTAGTCATAGCACAGGATGTTGCTAGACTGTCATCACTCAAGTATATTCATTTTGACAGGGCCGCAAAATAATTATACTAATTATATGCAGAATTAACCTTTGCAAGGTCTCAACTAATCTGTTTCTTTACATCACTGGGGTGGGCTTTTTATTTTGTTTGGGTTTTGTTGTTTTTTTTAAACAAACCAAGTACAATGTTTTTATAGCCATTCTTGAGCAGGACAAAAAGCGCTTAATTTCAGTACAACATTGGTCAGCAATCCTTTAATATCAATATCAAAAAGAACTAATGACACTAGAGAAAAATCTGCCTTTTATCAGCTCTAATATAAGCCCTTGCCTTCAAAGGGCACAGGACAGCTTAACAGATGCCTTGAAAGCAAGAAAAGATAAAGGAAGTCAGATACCAAATACTGAAAAAAAAGCTCATAATCAAACCTCATTCCTTGTGGGTAATCCGAAAGTTATTGTAGATGTTTAAACTTCAGACCTTAACTGTAGCTTCTGGATCTTTTCCTACTCTTCCTCTAACTATGGTTGCCTTTACTTTATACTCCTTTTTTTCTCCTACCTCATATTTCCCTCTCCATGTCAAGAAAGGTGACTTTTCAGTGGTAAAATGAGAGCAAGTAAATAGTAGTAATACAGATATTTCTGGTCACATATTCCAATTCTGGATGTAGTCTTCTACAAGTAACATTGCTGTAAATGGCCCAGACTACTGAAGCTAGAAATAAGCACAGAAATTCCATGAAGGGGACACCCTCCAGGAACTCTGTCACGTGTGTGTCATTAGGTGATCTGCATGTTAAGTGTCACATTCTAGCATTTATTTTTAGCAGTTATTTCTAGACAGAGAAACGCAGCATGTTTCAGTGCTGAAACTAAGACTGAACTCAAGAAACTGGTCTGGTATGACAAAAATCTCAGCTTAATGCAGAAAATATGAATTACTAGTGTAATGCATTTATGAGGACACTGAATAGTTACGGCCTTGGCTGTGTTCAGCAACTGTCCTTGCTTGGACAACCTTTAACTGAAAAGGCAGAGGAACCAAAGGGGAGATGAAGTAGGCAAAAATGCCTTTCAAAAGTCTATAAAGCAGGTAAGTGAAAGCTGAAGCCTGCACCCAGTTCCCCAAAGCAAGAACACGCTTTTGTCTTGTAAAAAAACTGCTGTCTCCAAAGCCAATGCAACAGGACTTAAAATTAAACTTCACAAAAACCAGCAATGTCCTACTGCAAATTAACTAACTACCTATCCATTCCTAGAGAAAAATCTAAAATCCTCTAAAGCCCACAAACCTTTTAGCCAGTCTTGTAAAAATTTTATGCACCTACCTGGAAGACGGTTGTGGACTCTTCTAAACTACTTAGCAAAATAATATTTTTCTATACAGCAGTAGTCAATCATAAGGAGATTTTGATAAACTCACTTTGTAAAATGGTCAAAATTCTACTCAAAAGGCATTTTCTCAAATACCTACTCAACCTACCCAAGGGATGCATATCAAGAGAAGAAAAATTCTACATCACCAAGTATGGGCATGATCTTTCTAGCAGAACTGCAGCTACAGGTATTGCACTCACATTCCCGTTTAGGGTCAAATCACTACCTCTCATTCTGAAAAACATCTTTTCCAGCAGAGCACTGTATGTAAACACAGAGCAAGGAACAAACAGATCTGCTTTTTGTTAAGGAATCAAGCCTATGTCATATATTATCATGCACTTATAACAGCATTCTGTACTTTCAAGACATGATACGAAAATATTTTACTTAGAGGGAAAAACAGCATAAGTTCAGCTGTCTAGTTTCTGATAGTTCCTGAGAAGAGGAAGTCATTTAATTCCCAAGAGGGAAAGGCAAGAAACCTTAGACAAACAAATCCTCTAACCGTGTAAGTGGTGTCAGGCATCTTTTAAACCTGATGCTTCTGCCTTCAGATTTTCAGCACTGCCTAACCGAAGAAGCTGACGAAGAATAACAAAATCCTCTCTGCTCCCCACACCTGTAAAGATGGATTTTTAGGAGAAGCTCTCCTCATGCCCTTAAGACATGAAGTAAAGCAACTGGTAATCTTGCTATTTCATTTTCAATTTTCACTTGCCTTCATATACCCAAAAGAAAAGCAATATAGATTTTAAGCATAGTATCCTGCAGGGTAAATAGCAGAGAGGAAAAAAAAGTACTCCTTGTTCTAATATTGCCTGTAAAGGTCTCCTTTCTCCTCCTCACGGGCTCCTCAAGGAGAATGCAAAGAATCCTCAGCTCAAAGGGGTTGTGACATAACTGTCTGCTTAGGGGAACTGAAACAAATTATAAGTTACATTAAAAAGTAATAAGCAGCAAATATTAAAAGTCAATTGAGCAGACTGAGATCACCCAGGTAGATATTTATCAGCACTTCACTAAAAAAAATAAATTTAAATTGTTTCCCTACCTACAGATCCTTGCTTTTACGACAGAAACATGTTATTTCCCCCAGCATGTCATAGTTCCACAGTTTCACACTCTCCTCCTTTTGCAAAGCAAACTCCTACCTTTCACAGTCTCTAAAAGTTTCCCCATGGAGACTGTGACTGCACAGCAGCATCACCCTGAGGCCTGGGGGGGGGGGGCTGATCTGCCTTCAAAAGCTTGGCTCAGGTAACCCTGCCTCAATCAACCTCACTGTATAAAACAGGCTGTCTGCAAGGCTTCAAGATCTCTGCAAGACTTCCAGAGCAGGGGGTAAGATCAACAGCCCAGCAGGCAGGATCACGTGCAATCTTGGTTCCCCTGCCACAACACAAAGCTCTCCTCGTGGCCTTAAGACAGGAAGTAAAGCGACTGGTAATCTTGCTATTTCATTTTCAATTTTCACTTGCCTTCATATACCCAAAAGAAAAGCAATATAGATTTTAAGCATAGCAGCCTGCAGGGTAAATACCAGAGGGGGAAAAAAAGTACTCCTTGTTCTAATACTGCCTGTAAAGGTCTCCTTTCTCCTCCTCATGGGCTCCTCAAGGAGTACAAGAGTGACAGGAGTAAATGTACTTCCCTAAATAATAAGGAACCCAAGCTCTGCCCCTTGATTCTAGAAGGGAACTAGAAAATGTAGGTAAGGAAGAAGAAAAAAGATGACATAACACAACCAACTATTAATGTGTCACAAAGTATCATAGATTTCCTCTAAAATGATGTAGTAAAGGTCATCATGGATGGGGAAGACCAAGATATTTTTTTGTTGTAGTCAAAAATATACCAGGACATGGACCTAATTTATTAACTTAAAGCTTGAACCCTCAGGCTTACAGGTCTGGTGCTATATTAAAACCCTTCACAATCCTTCAGCTTTAGTGGATTATTTTGCCTCACCCTTAACTTCCTTAACCTTTCCAATATCTTTTAAGAGGTATTGGCTGTTTGCTGTCCCGTATCTTATACATAGTTTTGCAGGGTCAGCTAAATACTCCCCAAGTAATCTGGGACAATCCTGGACCGTAACAGCCTCGCTTAAAAACACTGAACAAATTTTAGTGTCATAAAAATTCATAGCAGTCATGAAACCAGATTACAGGTTTCAGTACAAGTGATATTTTTAACAGCAACTCAAAGAGGTTTGTGAGGCTGTGATTCCAGCGGCCTAAGGGCAATGTTTGAAACATCAAGATAAAAAAATACAGCTGACAAAGTATCTTATTAATAGGTGATTTTTTTTTAAGATATCTGGGTAAATAAATTTTTATAGGTACTTAATGCGATTTTTCAAAGGCAGTTAGATGATTAAAATGAGACAGCTAGGTACCTAGGTGCCAGGAAATTCCTGGAATGCATTTTAATACTTTCAAATGTCTGATTTTTAACGTAAGAATACTTTTAACCTCTGTACTACTGAATTTGCTTAGTTAGCTGTAAAAAAACTAAGACCATTGTATCAGGTCTGGCAGAGACAGAGTTAATTTTCCCCATAGCAGCCCTCACAGTGCTGTGCTTTGTACTGGTAGCTAGAAAGGTGTTGATAACACAGCAGAGTTTTGTCTACAGGTGACCAGTGCTCACACAGCATCAATGATGTCTCTCCAACATTCCTCACTATCACCAGTAAGCTGGGGGTGGGCAAGATCTTGGGAGGAGGCATAGCCAGGGCAGCTGGACATCACTTGCTGATGGGAAGTGGAGAATAAAATCTTCTGTTCTCCCTTGCTTCCACGTGCATGACCTTTGCTTTTGCTTTAATAAACTGCCTCTTACCTTGACCCATGAGGCTTTTTCCATCTTATTTTCTCCCTCCCTTGGCCGACCCACTGAGGAGATGAATGACAGAGCTGCTTAGTGGGCAACTGGCATCCGGCCAAGGTCAAACCCACTCCCACCCCCCATCTATGCACAAACAGGCTCTTTCATAATGTTAACACACATTTCATCACAGACCACGGTGCACAATCCTAGTACTGCAAAAAGTAAACATGCTAAATTATTTCAAAATATCACTCCACTTTTCTGCATATAAAGATCAAAAGGGCAATAACAAGAAGGCTGCAGTATTTTTGCTTTTATTGCTTTAATTTTAAGCAGACCTTCTCCACCTTGAAGGAATAGACTCACGAGGTTTATCAACGCCCAGGAGAGGTCCAACTCCAGCCTGAAGCAGGGGAAAGGTGCCACAGTCCCAGCCAAGTCATTTGACAGCTGGGAGCACACACTGATCCAGCGCACCAGAGCCCCGTGCAGCCTCCCTGATGAACCACGAATCTTAACACTGTCAAGCCCTGCCGGACAAAGGTACTGCACCTACATTTCACCTTCTTAAAAGCTGTGCTACACACAGCAACAGAAAATCCACCGTGCACCAGATCTGCTGCTGTGCTGAACAAAGAAGAGATACAAGCCTAAGACATAGTTTTGTCATTTTTACTGACAGTCTTGGACTTCTAAGCAGAAAAATATCAACTCGTGCAACTTCAGACTATAACATTTCAATGATAACAAGTGAAATCCAATTAATCTTGAAGTACGAAGAACAGATTTTTTTTTGCTTCTGGTTTGTCCTAACAAAGTGTCAGAATATCATAGAATACATCTAAAGTAACAAATTAAGTATGTAAGAAAATTATGTAACAATAGTTGACACCACCTGTATTTTAGTACAAGGTCAGAGGATATACTTGTCAGGGCATTCACTGTAACAACTGGAGGAGAATTTTTAGAAACAGCATTACAGTACCAACTCCTTCATTTTCAGGCAAACAACCAGAAGGTTCTTCCTGCCCTCCTCCTTCCCGCCCCCCCCGCACTTTGACTGCATGAGAAAGGACAACCAGAAAGTCAGCAGCTCTGTCATTCTGCATTGCAGTATTAACACTGGACGGCAAACAAACTTGCACAGAAGATCTGGACGTGCTGTTCCGATTCAAAGGCTGAATTTTTACCAACAGGCTTATACTGACATTTAGAAAGCAAAAAAGCCCATGTGCTGCTTCTGAAATAACACGTTAATATAGAGCAATAGAGAAAAAAACCTCAGTATCAATTTAACTACCCATCTGCAGGGCCAAGTCAGCCCTCATAATCAAGCACAAGACCCCTATCTGACACACCATGTTCAGTTATAATGCATCCACTTCATTTTAAGTAACAGTAAGTTAGTTGTTTTCAGCATTTTGCAAATACCTGTCCATGTATCAGACCCTTCCCTCTTAGTTACGTCACAGCAGTTTTGCAAACTAACTTCTTGAGACAGACAGGAAACAGCTGGGGCATATTTGCAACTAAAGCAGAACAGCATCAGTTTGATCTGTCTTTGTTGAAGTGCTGTTTATTACTAACGTGTGGCTGACAAGATCTTAGGCAGGTAGCAATTTAGCTCTTTGTGATCATGCTAACATTCCTCACTTAGGAATGACATGGACAAATAACATGTATAGTGCTCCCCACAGCTCTCAACAAACCACTTTTTTAAAGGGGTTTCCAAATCCTGTATCCATTTTATTGAGGAAGAACATGTCCTACTGAAAGATTAATTATGTGGCAGTTTAAACTAATAGTATCTATTCAAGACCAACAGCATTCTGGGTTGTTTTAAATATCTTCTATAGTTATTTTACAGGAAGCAGTGCGAGAATAGAAATACATATGATAAAAAATAATTTCATTTATCGACTATTTCACTCTACTATTAAGACATAAAATATTTTGGAGGTTAATCTCCATCTAACACTGCATGCTTTAATCAATTAAAACACTAACACCCTACAAGAGAACTTATTGATTGAAAAGGAAAAAAGAAAGAAAAACAGGAGAACGAATCCGTGCCTCGTTAGGATGCAGGTAACTTAAGTTCAGATTAACTTTTAAAGTCTAGATTAACCTAGAACCGCCTCACTAGTGCCTATGATAATAATCAAACCACAAGCGTCATCGGTGCGTTACTTTAGTCCGAAGCAGAGACAAAGAGCAGCGCTGAGCACACACCCCCACCTCCGGCGCCGCAGTGCGCCCAGCCCGTCGCACCTCGCTACCCGCACGGACGGACGGACGGACGGACAGTGACCGGGGGCTCCCCGCCCCACCGCGGGCCCCGCGGGAGGGAGGAGGCGGCGCCGCGGCCCCAGGCCCGCCCCGTCCCGGTCCTTACATAATGCGGAACCTGCGGGGCCGCCCCGGGCCAGCGCTTTAGGCGGGGACGTAAATAAACAGAGCCGCGGGCCAAGCCGCGGCCACCGGGGACAGCCCGGCCCGGCCACCGCCTGCTGCCCCCCCAGGCACGGCACCCCCGCCCCGCAGCACCGCGGCCGCCCCTCTTCCCGCTTCCCCGGCACACTCCTCGGCCGCTCCTCTTCCCGCTTCCCCGGCACGCTCCTCGGCCGCTCCGCTCCGAAGAACCTGCGGGCGATGTCCCGCTTCCCAAGCCACACGCTCCTCCCCCCCCCAGGTCCCCTCAGGTCGCAGCACACCGGCCCACAGCCCGCGGGACCACCTCTCTCCGCGCCCTCCTCGCACCGGGGCTCTCCGGTCGCGCAGACCGCCCGCCCGACGCGGCACCCGGTCGGCGGTGCCGACTGACCTAGGCCCCCGGAGCCTTTGTGCGGGGCTGCGGACGGTGCCGGCCCGGGCTCCCCGATCCCTTTGTGCCCCCGCCCCTCCCCCCGGGGCCGCCCGAGGGCGCGGGGCAGGGAGGGCAGGACAGGGCAAAGCAGGGCAGGGGAGGGGGCGGCACCGCCCCAACCGGTTCCAGCCGCCCCCCGCTCCGACCGCGAGGGGCGGGGCCACAGCGCGGGATACCACGTGACCGACCGGCTGAGGGCGCGTCACTCGCCGACGCTTCGGACCCGCCTCCGCCGCCCCAGCCAATGGGAGAGCGGAGTCGAGACCGCGCCTGTTCCTCGACAGCACGGACGGAGCGTGAGGGGGCGTGTCCTGCCCAAAGGGGCGTGGCCAAGGCGGCACGGTGAGTGCGTGGAGCCGGGGCAGTGGCGGCTCCGCGGGGCAGCGGGGGATGAAGGAGGCGGCTGCAGCCGCCTCCGCACGGGGCGGGGGGGGCAGAGCTCTGCTCTACCCACCTTCCCCCAGGGCCAAGGACCATCCCCCCGGTACCCTTCCTCAAGAGCGAACGGCACCGCTCCCCGTACCAGCTCTCCCGACACCGCAGCGCGCACCGACCTCCTTCAGCCTCCAGGGCGCCCTCAGCAGCGCGCACCGACCGTCCCCTTGCCACCACCACACAGCCCCACCGCACCCCTGCTGTCGCCGCGGACTGACCTGGCCGAGCGCTCGCTGCGGGGCTGCAGCAGCAGCAGCGCTGCCCGGGCTCCCAGTGCCGCCGCCCGGGCCCGGTGGCAGCGCGGGCGGCGTGGCCGGTGACCGGTTCCAGCTGCCCCCGGGCGAGCCGGGGGATGGGGCGGGCCGGGCGGTGACCCACGTGACCCGCCCCGGCCGACACGTCACTGCCCGCGAGCCCGGCACCGCCCCTTCCCGCTCCAGCCAATGGGGAGCGAGCGGGTGGGGCGGGAATGGGCCGCGCTGTTCCCTGGAAAGCCTTGGAGCTGAGGGGGGAGGAGAGGGCAGGGAGCGTGGGGGTGTTCTCTCAGCGGAGCGGCGTCTATGTGGGTCAGGGGAGAGCTCAGTCTGGGAGCTGGGCAGTGGCCCTGCTGAGGCGAGAGAGGTCTCTGCTGCCATGCTTCAGCCCTGTGAGGCCACGTTATCTCAGTCTGTGTCCTCAGTTCCCAGCCTGGGAGCGGGAGGGCTGCCCTGACGACAGGCAGCCTTCACTCCCTTGAGGTATCAAAGGGGCAGGCAGCCTTTCGTGAGGGGTTTTGGTCTCTGTGGGTTTAATGGTGGCCGTCCATGTCTGTTTTCCACCTGTGCAGGTGTCCCAGCTCTGCCAGCAGACTGCATGCTCCGTTACCCACCGAAATGTAGGATGTCAGGAGCCAGTGTCCCCTGCCCCACACAGAATCACAGAATATTCTGAGTTGGAAGGGACCCACAGGGATCATTGAGTCCAACTCTTTAAGTGAATGGCCCATACAGAGGATTGATTGAACCCGTGACTTTGGTGTTATTAACACCGAGTCTTAACCAGCTGAGCTAATCTCAGGATCATGCATCTGTCCTGGGGCTCTTGTCTCGTTCTCCGGGCACATCTGGCTGCCCACATGCCCATCCCCACAAACAAAAGGGCTGTCATTCATGGTACAGCTAAAAGCATTGCCTTCACGGCAATGGTGCCAAGGCAGACCCATGTGGGAATGCCCATGCTGGAGTTTTGAAGCTCCAGGCAAAGTTTAAGTGCGATACTTATGTTTGTTTTCAGGATAGATGAGACTGTCCAGTGAAGACCCTGGGGAGACTTGCTGCACTAAAAGGTAGCGTTGTGTTTGGGGCTACAACCCTGTGGCCTTCCTGAGACCTAATTTTATGATAACAAGGGTAGCCCGTTGGAATTCACCCAACAAAGCCTTAGCAGATAAAGGGAAACTGTTTTCCTCTGCCTTTAGGGGGGACCTTGTGCTCTGTTTTGTAGCTGAGCTGTGAAGTTGTGATAATTTCACCAGTCCTCCTACTCTAATAATAAGCTTGCATAAATAGCTTGATAAGTCACTTGCTTCTACTTTATACAACTTCTTTCATCTGACAAATAAACTGTCTTTTGAGTATGCAGAGAAACCATTTATCTTGTTTCGCACTGGAAGTTAGTGCCATTACAAGAATGCTTCTCTATGTTGTCCTTCCATCTGTCATTTAAATAGAGGGCTATTTTCCATTCATTCATCCCCTACAAATCTAGCCATGTTTATAAGTAATTTGTGACACAGCCCTGGGTCTTGTAGGGAAAAGGGATGTTAATGTCAGATGTTCTATATCAGAAAAGCGTGTAACGCGTCTGAATTGCTGAGGTCTGTATGTGGGTATTGCAAGATCAGGGTACTCTGCTCAAAGGAAAGAAAGGTAGGGGAAGTTATGCAGTAAAAGGAAATGATAGCTGAAAGCAGTTTATTTTGAAGTGAAAAAGATAAGAGGAATTCCTCTGGGTAAACACGGATGTGAATTACTCTAGTTACAGACCTTAATGTTTAACTAAACATTAGGAGCCATCATTTCTACTGGTGTATCAGCCATGAGTTGAAGAAAGAGGATGAAGAGAAAATAGTATTTAGAAAAGCAGTTGACTGCTTATTTTCTCTTCCCCCTTTTTAAGATTTTTTTAGTTCACGGAATTTGTTGTAAAGCTGGGATAGAATTGAACACTTTCAAATGCTTTGGCATGTTACATTTTTCAAAAATGGGTCTATGATATCATACCAGACATATTATAAAATTGTAACCTTAATTTTTTGTTAAAAACTGGAAGTGTAACACCTAGTTTTGTTCAGCCCTAGTGTAAATTTAAAAAAAATGCCTGTATTTTGTCAAAACTATTATTGCAATTCCTACAATAATTCATTATAGCTAAAAATTACAATTTAGACCCTAAATAGATTCAAGAAATATTCATGTGTTCATTTTGTTAAAGATGTACATCTCCTTACTTCTTCACTAAGGTAAGAGAAGCTCATCTAATCAGATCAATTGAAATGCTTAGAGTCCTTTTTCTCCTTGTGAACTTATGTGGTTGATTTCAGCTAAAAGCTGGCATTCTGTCAAATAAACTAGTTTTTAATTCTTCAGGTAAATAAAAAATATTATATATTTATTCATTTAGAAAGAATGTTAATAGGATATTTTATGCTGCATTTAGAGGAAACAGCTGATTCTAAACAGCATGATTTGTCATGGCCACTTTTCAAGGACTAATTTTCTCTTTAATGATAACTCAAGTTTGTCAAAATCAGAGATTATGTTCTTCATTCCTCATTGATAAGGCTTTTCCACTGCACTGCTTCTTGGTCTTGCTGAATAAAACAAAAGCGGCTAATTAAGAATATTGATTAAGCTTGGAGCTAAGTGTAGAGCAAGTAGGAAAAGGGTGGGATGGAAAATACTGATCTCTGTTAGCTTGCTTAACCTGAAAAAAGACTACATTTAATGAAGCCTGCTAGTGTACTTGTTTATCTCCTCCTCCTGAAGGAGTTGCTTCAGTTTGGTTGCATGAGATAAGGTCAGAATTTGCCATGACGCAGCAGGCAAGTCTCAGCTGCTCCTTAAGGTGATATAAAGCTCTGCAGTAATTAGAGCACATAGATGAGTTTATAGAACTCTTCTTAAATATCTGTCCAAAAAGTTAAAATTGGTCTGCTTTCCTCGTTTACATAAACAAAACAAAGGAAATAGGGTTTTATATCATAAAACCTGCATTGAATCAAGGTGCTGCTGGCAGAAGTCCCAAAGAGATCCAGAAAGGCAAGGTTAGAAGGTTACAAAATCTGTTTCAAACTCTATTTAAACTACGTGTGCACATGCTGGAAAGCATATTTTCTTCTTCAATAAGAGTTCATAAACTTAATAAGAATTGCTGGTACTTAACCAATACTGCCTGGCAAAATGTTTTGTCTTCGTTCTGGCAATGATACCGTTGTGATGAAGTCTCTGAGCAGGAGTGAAAGAGCTAAAAGATGCATGCTAAAAAGATGCTAAAATTTGCATGCTGCCTCCCCAAACGCTGTGAAAGCTGCCTTATAACTGGGTCTTGCTCCCAGCCATGACAATAGGGCATGAAGGGGGTTGCAGGTGTTGTGTGCCATAGGTAGAATATCGAAGTAGCATTCAGGCTGTACTGGTTGAGACATGAAGTCCAATGGAACTTATGCTGTCTGGTTTTTATAAATAATAAGATGAATACTTGCCCAAGTGCTGTAAATAAGTGGTTGAGGCTCATGTATGTAATACACTAGCAAACAGGCACTAAACAGGCACTAGGAAATGCCTTTGAGGTTTTATGTCCCCATCTGTAGCCAATATAATATTTTCTTCAGCTGCCAGAATTATAGATTCAACCTATAATCAAGATTCATTGATATTCCAAGTAGTAATAAAGACTGTGAACATCAAATTACAGCTGTGCTTCTTCCTCTTTCATAGTATGCATTATCAGTTCCAGTGATCTGGTTTTACTGACATCAGGGCTCACAGCTGAAGAAAGCTGCATATTGAGATAAATTGCACTCCCTATTTTACTGCCCTTAATTTTTCTGCAGTCATTCTCAGTCTGGTGGGTTATTATGAGCAAAAATAGCTCATAAAATGATGCAATTGATGGCCTAGCATTAGGCATGAAGTATTGCATTAATGTTTTTTAATCTTTTTGTATAATCACTTATACTTGAAAATGCACTTCTAACCTTTCCTTTGGCGCTGAGAATCTTGCTGTATCATCACCTAATGAGAAATCTGGACAATTTATAGGCACTAAAGGAAAGTGATGCTGAGAGACTGGAAAGCATCAAGCAAGAATAAAAATTATGAGACAGTTAGATGCATGCTATTAGCATGGCAAAAGCCTCTCAGTCTCATGGAGAATGATGAGAAAGCATTATTAGAAAAAGGCCCATGTAATATATTTTTCTCTGTGGGCAAGTTAGCAGTTTGTCAGAGAGCATAGAAACACATCAGAGAAGTAGGTGGTAAGAATTAAGCAAGAAGATAAGGTCGTGTCTAAAACTTTTTAAAATGCCCAAAGTGGGGAAGCCTAGAAGGTAAGCAGAAGGTGAAGAGGGAGAGGTGGAATGCTACTCTAGA